AACTTTTCCCCAGCTGCAGAGTTCTTTATCTTACCTGTAAGTCCCTGAAAGTCCAAGAGACTAACAAACGTTTTGCTAGGAAACAACGGAATGAGATCATGAAAGAATGATGCATTCACATTGGATAATCTGTCATTTTTTAATTGAGAAAATCTAAACCCTCCCTGAGGGAATGAAATTTTCCCTTTTAAAAAAATACACTGAGGCAGCACCCCACGCCAGTAATCTCAACACTTTGGAAGGCTGAGGTAGCAGGACTGTTTGAGGCCAGGAATTCCTGAGACAAGACAGGGCACAGAGTGAGATCCTGTCTCTACAAAAAACTAAAAGTTTAAAGGTAGCCGGACATAGTAGTATACCTATAGTCCCAGCTACTTGGGAGGATGAGACAGGAGGATCACTTAAGCCCAGGAGTTTGAGGTTGCAGCAAGCTATGATTGCACCACTGCTTTCCAGCTTGGGCAAGAGAGCAAGACCCTGTCTCCAAAAAAGAAAATTTTTTTAATTGCCTGGGGCCCAGTTTCTGTGGGCTCTTCACAGCACTGGGTTCTCCCATACTGGAAATGAAGAGTCTGGACAGAGAAGATATATATATTAATAACTCCAGTAAATGATTGAGGAACAGGGATAAATTAGCATCCCTGATCCCCAAACTTGAGGCCTGAGCAAGAATCAGAGAAAGTAGAACTGGAAGGTAATATATTAGTCACCCATAAACTCAAGGTACTTTATTTTACAAATAGGGAAACTGAGGCTCAGAGAGGAGGCTCTTGACCTCTGTAATATTAGACAGCTAACTAGTGAATGTACTGGGGTCCAGTGCAGTCTTCTGGTCCTAATTTGGGGCCCTTTTTGCTACCCTGCACTACCCACCCCTCACTCATATCAAGGACTGACATTTTGTCAAACCTGTCACACAGTTGAATGTGACTCACACAGTATCAGAGTTAAATGCTACTTCAGGGGCCAACAGGGCCCACTCCTTCCCCAAAACCAGAATGCCCCTCCAGTGTTCCTATCAATTCTTCCAGGTCACACCCACCAGGGCCTTCTATCTTCATGGCTCTTAATTTTGCAGATTTTTTTTTCTATTATGCCAAACTCTTTATCTCTGTTATTCCCACCTATTGACTAAATTCCAGTTTAACAGGCAAACTGGCTACGCGACCTTGGCTGAGTTCTATAACTCCTTAAGGCTGATTTTTTTTTTCCTTCAAAGTTGAGATTTTTATCAGCCGTTGAAGATTAAGATTATTAGACTATTTTAGTAACACCAATGTCACAGTACAATGTCCAACATACAGTAAGTGCCAATTAACTGTTAGATAAATGTTATTATTGGTTTTATTACCTATCTGTCTCAGAGCCAGACGTCTTCATTCAGGAGATATCACTATTGGTAGATCTCGTTTGCCCATTTCTGAGGAGAGTGAGGCAATGGTCACCTTGTAGACATAAACCTCACCTGCAGCTCAGCTCCAACCACTACCCAAATTCCATCTCTACAGTGATTCTCCAAAAGTTTCCATCCCACAAATCGCACTTTACTGGAGTTAAGAAACACACTTGAGAGAGAGAAAGAGCAAGTACAGCCCAAGGGAAAGTAAACCCAAACGTATGCTCCAGTAGAACAAGGTAGTCCATGAGGCAGAGAGAGGCAGGAAAAGGCTGCTCTAGACAGCAGGGGAAGGGCCAATGGCTAGCCTGGACCAGAGGCATGACCAGCAGATGACAATGCCCTCACCAAGATGATGAAGGAGAAAACATCATTAAAGACAAGAGTCACACCCATCGGGAGGACTACAACAAAAATAAGAAATAACAAGAACCAGTAAAGATGTAGAGAAGCTGGAAGCCTTGCTTGTGCTTACGTACAATACGGAAGAAAAATAACGAACTGCCATATTGTTTCCTATAGCAACTGTTCTATTTTACATTGCCACCAGCGTAAAATACCGTTGCTACTGTACATGGCTACCAACGTGAAATAGTACAGTTCCTGTAGAAAACAATATGGAATGAAAATATAATTACCATCTAGTCTACCAGTTCCACTTCTGGGTATATTCCCAAAAGAACTGAAAGCAAGGACTCAAACAGATACTCATATTCTCATGTCCACATTAACATTATTTCCAGTAGTCAAAAGGTCAAAGCAACCTATTGCCAGATGAATAGATAAAATGCGGATCATGCATACGATGGAATATCGTTCAGCCCTTAATAGGAAGGATATTCTGACACACGCTGCAACATGGGGAGTCCCTGAGGTGATGCAAAGTGAAATAAGCCAGAAGCAAAACGATCAGCAGTACCTGGTTCCATTTACATGAGGAATGCAGAGTGGTCAACTTCATAGAGACATTAAATAGAAGTGTGGTTTCCATGTGCTGGGGGGTAGCGGAGGGGAAGTGGGGAATGTTCAATGGGTACAGAGTTTTAGTTTTGCAAGATGAAAACAATTATATAAATGAATGGTGGTGATAGTTGCACAACAGTGTGAATGTATTTAATGCCACCGAACTACACATTTAAAAATGGCTAAGATGATAAATTTTATATGTATTTTACCACAATTAAATTTTAAAAAAAGAGAAAGAGAGAAAATGGTGTTAGGAAAACCCCTCACGGGCAACTAAGCCTCAGTTTAGTCAGATCTTTCTGAACAAATCTTTTGAATGAAGGTCATTCTGTTGTTTGGTTTCTCAAGAAAGAAAATAGTCAAAAACACATCAACGCTTAAAATGGACCTCCTGGGAAAAGAGCTCAGAAATGTATGAGACCAATGTTCCCAAACAAAAGACTGGGATATTTAGCATGTGAGAAATAGGTTGGACCTGCTTTTTATTTATTTACTAGAAAATACCCTACCAATATGCACATGGGCAGCCTACCAAGATTCAAAAGAAATTCTTGCCCTCCCTATCCATCTGACTTTCTGTGTGGCTGACGAGGACAAGAACAAGAGGGACTCATCTTCCTTCTCCCACATTAGTCAGACTGTCCCTAAAATCCTCTTCTCACAGATCACTAGGTTATCCTGAGTCCCTCAGAGGCTCACTGGATCGTCAGAGAAGCTTCCAGATAGAGAAGAGCATTTGAAGAGAACACAGCCCCTAACAACCAAGTTTGAATGACAGCTTCCTTCCAAAACACAAATGCAAATCCATTCAAGCCTTTTATTTTTATTTACCACACAGGTCTTTACAGACAAGAGCTCAGCTGAAGACCACAGTAAGGACGATGTTTCATTATTGTTTCTGTTTGTTCTGTTCTGTTTTGGGGTTTTTTCCCCCCGATGGGGACTTTGGATTTTAACACTAAAAATTAATAGGAAGACCCTTGATTCAGCAGCAAGTCCTGCTGGGCTGCGTTTTGGGCTGGTCTTTTGGAGAGGGCTGTAATTGTCCAAGAATTCACAAAAGCATACTGAAAAACTGAAAATAAAAAATAAATTTATATTTCTAGAGAGAAGGCTGGGAGTAATTTAGTATTGGGGAAAAAACTCCAAGTCTGCGACTAAGTTTTGGGAAATGGAGAACTAACTCCCTAACGGGGGATCCCCTGTTGTAAACTCCAGTGGTTTTCAATTAAGAGGCCACATGGTAGTAAAAGTGATTTTTCATATTTCAAGCAGCCTATTGGAAACAGAAGATCTGCCAGGATATGGTCATATGGGCTCACTGGGAAGACACATTGTTTAGTGTTTGAGCTGGAAGCCTCCCAAGTCAGTGTAGTAACGCTGGTTATCTCACCCCGATCAAAAACTCTTTAAATTGGCCATTGACCATATCAAGGACATTTCTGAGGTGAGATGCTTTTCCTTTCCATTTTGCTGTATGTTTTTGATTAATAAAATGGAATTACAGCTGCATTATTACTTGTCCATAGCAGTTTGGACAGAAAAATCCTGCCAAACCCTGTGTTCACCCAGGAAGAAGCTTAAGGGGTCCTTAGAGTTGAAAACTTAGGAAACCATCCTCTCCCTCTTCCTGGAGCATGCACATTTCAAGGGAATAAACAGACTCGTTCTGAGCCAGAGTGGAGCGTGCCTGTTGTCTGGGAAAACACAAAGACAGACAGTGTAAATTAACTGCATCTGGTAAGGTTAGGTGAGAAGGGGGAGGAGATAATTAGTTGGCATTATAGGAGCAAGGGCAAAGAACAGACTTCTATATTTACACAGAGGAAATCCAAAATAGACTGCTTTGCACCCATTTGGGGCTTGTGAGGGAACTTTGCATGTCCACGTTGGCGGATGGACACAGAGGCCAGACGCAAGGCTGAGCCAAACCCCTGGATACTATAAGCACCATCCCCACCTTCAACAAATGGAAACCTGACTTCATGCCTTTTTTTTTCTCTTTTATTGGAGACAGGTCTCCCTCTGTTACCCAGGCTGGAGTGCAGTGGCATGATCATGGTTCTCTGTAGCCTCAACCTCCTGGGTCCAAGTGATCCTCTCACCTCAGCCTCCAGAGTAGCTGGAGCCACAGGTGTGCACCCACCATGCCTAGTTAAATTTTTTTTTGTGTGTGTGTAGATGGGATCCCAATATGCTCAGGTTGCTTCCTGCCATTTTACTTCTGAAAATGAAGGCAAAAAGGCTAAGGTAAACCCAAAAGACACTCGGGAGCAATGAGACAAGGTTTCAGTGAGAGAACGGTTATCTTCAAATGAAAGCCCTACAATAAACCAGCCAAACAAATGCATCTGTTTATACTAAAGTGGGTGCCCTTAAAACCTGATACTGGGCAATTTACAGTATCCTTTGGTATGTATGTTTCCCTGTGTAGACATGCAACATTTCAGAAGTAACACATATTTCCAGTGATGCAGAGACATCACTGGGCTATCGTATTGTGCATAGGATAGTAAAAATAAATGCCACAGTCACATAAAACTCATAATCTGCAGCCAAGATACAATTTCCACTTTCTCAGAAGAATTTAAAGCATGCTAGCACAAACTATGAAGGCACCTAATATGAAAATCTTTTCTTTCTATAGATGCAAGGATACTTTCTTTTGTACATGTGTACTTTCTTTTGTAACATGTGTATTACACAGGAAGAAAACATGAGCATAGTCAGCTTTATCTGTGAATGCAGTTAGATATAGTTCTCTAAAGTAGGAGCTCCTGCTCAATGCAGAGCCATTAAGGTATGTGCTTATGAGATCTGAGGTAGAGGTGAGTATTTACGGGTTTGCAAACATTTCTAAAGCTGGTATAGAAATATTTATTTCAAGAAAGGAGGTAACAGTCATGAGGTTAGAGTATCTTCTTAAAAGAGAAGCTAAAGATGGTGGAAAAGACTAGATAAAGATTAGTGAGCTCCGTCCACAAGCCCGAAAGGACAGGACCTTGGTCTAGGCTTTCTCACATGCTTCCTGTCTCCCAGAGAATCCCTGGGAAACAGAGAAATGAGCAGATCCAACTCATCAGTTAGGACAGAGAAAGTGCTGGGAGGACAAGGCTGTGGCCATAAAGAGAAGCACAAGTCTGGAAGTAAGGACAGCTCTGTGATGTTCTTTTTTTTTTTTTTTTTTTTGAGACAGAGTCTCGCTGTCTTGCTCTGTCACTCAAGCCGGAGTGCAGTGGCATGATCTTGGCACTGCAATCTCCACCTCCTAGGTTGAAGTGACTCTCCTGCCTCAGCCTCCCAAGTAGCTGGGATTACAGGTACGTGACACCATGCCTGACTCATTTTTGTATTTTTAATAAAGATAGGGTTCCATTATGTTGGCCAAGTTGATCGCAAATGTCTGACCTCAAGTGATCTGCCCACCTTGGTCTCCCAAAGTGCTGGGATTACAGGCATGAGCCACCGCACCTGGCCTAGAAGGACAGCTGTGTTCCAATGCCAGCTCTGCCCAGCCAACTGCACAACCACGGGCAAGTCATGCCACCATTTAAGGGTCACATTTTTCATTTATAAGATGAGGAAGATGACTGACTCCAAAGAGTACTTGCAACTCTGTATAATTAAGCTTCTCTGTACTTTCGAAAAGACCAGAGCAACCCTGAATACCTCCCTAAAATACAGCTCACTGAAACCTTCTAAAATGGCAAAGACACTATACACCATCCAACAAACACTTTATATCTGCCTATCATTCTCTTTCAAGCATCTCAGAGAACATTGCAAAGCTGACACTGATATTTCAGCAGCCTCTTGAAGCCTACAGCAGTGACAGAGCCCCCCAACCCACCTTTGTACAATTGAAGAACAGAGATGCTGAGTGCTTTGTCCAAGGTCAGAAGCTAGGACAGGACCAGAATTCCAGCCTCCTTAATTCCTAGGCTATGCTATACTTTCCACGAAGAAACCAAGCTGGCTTTCTGGGAAAAATGCCAGAGGTTCCATTCTCCCAACTGAGAATTTGTTGGAATATTGGAATAACAACTTTGGAGACTGTGATCTCTCCAATCCATTTCAGGACCTGGCTAGAAATGTGAAAACCCAAAGAAAGAAGCAACAGGGAATTATTCCGTTTTTTAACGAAAGAGAAAAAAATTAGGGGTGGGAATATGGGGTTTCTTAAAAATTACACGATTGCTGGAAGTTAATTTGGTATTTCTTCGATGGTTTGTAAGTTCTGTTTCCAATCACAAAAACAGGCAGCAGAGGATGACTAAATCACATTTCGGTGAATTAGTGTCTTGTCCCAAAGAATCTTTCCCATTCTGAAAATATAACATAGAACCCAGGATGCAATCCTCCATGGTAGAAAGGAATCTCCCTCAACGCAACAGAGTGCTTGTCCTAATCCCCTAAACCATACTCTAAATTGATAATCTTCCAGCCCAGCAGCAATCATGGAGAATCATAAAGCAGATGCCACTTAACTGGGGGCACACTGCCTCTTCTAGAAAACTGACTGAGACCATCCCCTGCCCGAGAGGAGAGAAGCCATTGCTTATATCCTTCACCACACATACTACTTATTAGGCTGAAGTCAGTTCACCTGGAAAAGACTCCGCCACAGATTTAGAAACACATGTTCCGAAGGAAGATTCTGGCTTCTGCCAAGAAAGGCCAGCATGAGGAGGCTCTTGTTGGACGAGCTTAGTGACTTGAAATAACACGAAACCAACCTGACAGCAAAGCTCCACGGATCAGTACTCAGAGTTGAGGTTCATGAAGAAAAGAAACCAAAAATGATTGAAAAATCACTTTTTCCCCCTACCTGTCAATTATGACCGGGTCCGACGGAGTCTCATTTCGGTTTCCACAGCTTTTCTTTTCGCAGCATCGACTGTAGATTGGGAAGGAAACAAAAGAGTAAAAGAAATTTATTAAATCAAGAAAATGCAATGTGCACATGACAAACAAGAATATTCTTTTTTTTTTTCCTCTCCCCAAGACAAAGTCTGGCTCTGTCACCCAGGCTGGAGTGCAGTGGCTCAATGGCTCGATCTCAGCTCACTGCAATCTCTGCCTCCTGGGTTCAAGTGATTGTTCTGCCTCAGCCTCCCCAATAACTGGGACTACAAGTGTGCACCACCACGCCCAGCTAATTTTTGAATTTTTAGTACAGATGGGTTTTTACCATGTTGGCTAGGCTGATCTCAAATTCCTGACCTCAGGTGATCTGCTTACCTCAGCCTCCTAAAGTGCTGGGATTACAGGCGTGAGTTGTAGCGCCTGGCCACAAGAACATTCACAAAGATGAATCTGTCTTAGGGGGAACAACACTCGCTGGGACCTGCTGCAGGGGTGATGCTGGGAGGGAGAGCCTCAAGAAGAATAGCTGATAGATGCTGGGCTTAATATCTAGGTGGTAAGATCATCTGAGCAGCAAACCACCATGGCACTTGTTTACCTATGTAACAAACCTGCACGTCCTGCACATGTACCCCTGAACTTAAAGGTTGAAGAAAAAATAAATAAATATAAATAAATCTGTTCAAGGTAGCTTCCCAACTGTAAGCTGCTTGAGGGCAGGATTTATGATCACATTTTATAAAATAAAAAATAACAACACTGAACCTGAAGTCAAAATATACTCAAATTCTCACTCTGGGACTTACAAGCTGGCTAATTCTCAGCAAATCAACTTTCCCATGAGCCATATTTGTAAGCTGAACCATGGAAGGTTGGATTTTAAGATCAATAAGGTCACTTCCAGATTGAAGCTCAATGATTTTATGATATTTTTTGTCTTTGTGGCTTAATAAATATTTGAAGAAAAAGGAGGAAAGAAAACGTATAAAATAGGCTGCCTGGATTACTACAAAGCTTATTTACATAACATCTTTCTCCAGAGATCTTGGTATACTTTGTAAACATTTATTCATTCACTCATTTCCGTCATTTTCAAAGATGAAGGATGAGGACCAGAACTATGGTATGCATTTTAAAATAGGAGGAAAATGAGGCATGGAGCTGTGGGATGGTATCTCCGATAATTTTCACCAAGTCTGAAACAGAAGTGATATCCCACTGTTTGTAAGTGCCGTTCTGAAAACTCCGCTTCCCAGGACATCCCCCATGTGCTGGGTACCTTGTACAAAGACCTCAATAAATGCTGATGGGATTAGCTGAGAGGGAGATAAAGAAGATCCCCTAAGACAATTACAACGAACAGAAAGTACTCCCTAGGACCTGAGAGGGGAGCAAAACACTCCAATCCAAAGGTATCTATTCAAAAATACCTAGACAAATGTGAGAAGGGCAAAGGAAGCTTGCTGGTAAGAAGCACAGGGAATTCACTCCCCTTACCACCAGGTAGCCCATCTGCTGCTTGTCAGGGCTACAGACTTTTGAATACCTCTCTGCTCATCTCAGGCACACGGTCCACCATCAACTATAGTTGGCTAAGAATGTAGCCTTGACATGGCTTTTTAAAAAATCGTAACTATCCATACTGGTTGGAGAATATGCCTAAGAAGTAAGCATACTAACAACAATCAAATTATACGTGAGCTCTGCCCTTCCCATGGTTGTTTTTCTGTAGCCTAAGTTTGATGTGATACCTTATGAAGTTGCTGAACTCGAAATCAGTGTTCTGGTCTCCAAGCCATCAACCAGCTTCACAAATTTAGCCAAATGTCTTTAACCCTCTTGGCTTTTTGTTTCTTATGAATTAAGTGAAAGTGTTGGATTTGATTCTCTCTAGAGTCCTTTCTAGGTTTAAGTCCATGAGGCTAGGGGATTTCATGAGCACCCTTTGAAACTGGCAATAGCAAGAGTTAAAAAGAAAGTCATGTGACAGCAGGAACCCAAAGGCCTAGCACCAGCCCAATCCTAGTTTTTGTTTTTTTGAGACAGGGTCTCACTTTGTTGCCCAGGCTGGCATGCAGTGACATGCAGTCTCAACCTCCCAGCCTTAAATGATCCTCTTTTCTCAGCCTCCCGTATGTAACTGAGACCACGGGTACACACCACCACACTCAGCTAATTTTTTATTTTTTATTTTGGTAGAGACAGGGTCTCACTGTATCATTCAGGCTGGTCTCGAACTCCTGGGCTCAATCTCTCTGCCCACCTTAGCCTCCCAAAGTGCTAGGATTACAGGCATATGCCACCACTCCAAGCCCCAGTCCTAGCTCTGTGGCTCTCTGTGGCTCATTTACCCTCTCTGGTCCTCCACAGAATTAAACATAAACAAACAAATAAATGTCTTAAAACTTTTTAAACCCATCTCTTTCATGCAGGATATGTGGATTCGCCAGTGAATAAGTCTACCATCCTCAGAAAGTAAAATGTACTTAAGAGATGCTAAAACATTTGCAGGAAATGGGCACAATGAGGTTTTAAGAAATTTAATCAAATTAGTAGGAAGGAAAAGAAAAATGATCTCAACTTTCTTAAATACCAGAGTTTGCCACTGGGACTTTCTGAAATAATATTTGGCCTTTGAAATTATATTAGATCTTAACTTTTAAAATTTCAATCCATCCCAAGATTAACACCAATAAAAATGCAGGCCAGCTGCTCTCCCACCTCCTAAACCCCTTGTCTGTCTTCCCAAATCCCTACCCTCCCACCCATTTCTCCCACCTTTCCTGTTTCTAGAATATTGCTTATGTCAACGTAATACCTTTGCAGCTCAGGCAAGCCATTTTTCTTAGCAACACAATTTCAAAAGACCCATACATGCTAGTTACCTAAAGACCTTCAAGCAAGACTCTCCCCTTTGACATCACCAGCAAGTCAACCTAACCCCAAATATGTGTGCAATGCCGGGTACAATTTAATTACAAGAGCGCACACTGTCAGAATGTGCCAATTTGTTTAGTTTGGGTAGGAATTATTCTGAGGGGGCTGAGTAAGTTTGCAAAATTGTTCAGCTGAATTCAGCTGCCTTCCATGGGGATTTCCTCTGGAGGAAAAGAAAAACAGATAAAAATGTAAGCCTGGTGCCAGTGTAGTATAACATAGGGAATGAACTTGGGAGGAAATGATATTCAAAGAAAAATGCAGAGAAACTTTAGGATCCAGTCCTCCATTTTCCAACAGTAACATATTTAAATATCATCTCTAACATTGATATTCAGCACGGAAAATACATAGAAGACATTCACTTGGCCGAACTATAACAGAAAAGGTATAAAAATAATAGAACTTGGTTGAATTAGCCCCATTTAAGCCTGCCTGAAGATTGTCCTAGGTCTGTAAGTTGGCCAAAGCAAATCGTTCGTTCTCTTTTTTTTTAGAGAAAAGGTTTCATTAATATGTTCTAGTTGTTCTTTATTTTGTTTTTTAAACCGTGTTCAGTCCTCCTGCCAGCAGTATCAGTACAAGCAATGGGAAATGGAGAACCTGAAATGTTTGTGAGCCTACACTCTCCAAATAGTGTGGAACAGCTCAGAAACCAGGTCCCTGAATTACTCAGATGACAAACTCAATTCTCCCTTCCCTTTGCTGTGTAGACAAAGCCTGGATGATCAGCTTCAGATTCAGCAACTTTAGTTAAAAGGCTTTTAGGGTTATTCTCCAACATGCCAGTCTAAAGTTCATGATAAATGTTTTCTAAAACTGAAAAAAAAAAAAAGATTAAAAAAAAAAAAAAAAAAAAAAAAAAAAAAAAAAAAAAAAAAAAAAGTAAAAAAATAAACAAAGCAAAAAGAAGAGGAAACTGAACTTGGCAATAGGTTAAGACTGTGTTTGTAACAACCCCAGAGAGACTCAGAGGTGCTCTTTTTTCCTGATGAATGAAAATGAAAGCTGTTCCACTGCTTCTCTCTGCCTTGGTTTGGTTTATTTTATTCTGGTACTTATTTGGAAAACCTTTTATTTGAAACACTCTCGATTTATTCTCCCCATCTCCACCCAGAGTCTTCGAAGGAGAGAGAAAAAAATAAAACCAGTTGGAGGTGGGAGGTGGGGAAATATGAGAAATCTTATCGCGATCCTGAATCCTACCTGCATTTTTCAGAAAGGGAAAAAGAAGAGGGATAAAAGATGGCTGGGGAAGGGAAAAAATCCCCAGCCATGGACAGAGGGCATCCAGTCAGCCAAACTTCAGCTCACGACAAGCGAATGTGTCCCTTTCCCCTCCAAAATCGTTTTTAAAATTCAACCTTCAACTTTCAAAAATCTGTCTCTAATTTCAAACTCAAATAAGCGCACAGCATGGTGGCTTTTGTTTTGTTTTCTTCTCCCCAACTCCTCCCTGCGATTGCATAACAAAAGTGTCTAAATTCACACCATCTGGCCGATAAAGACACTGGCCTCACTGCCCGGCTGGCCCATCTGATTAGGGCCCTGTCTAGCCTGCGCCTTGTGGCGAAAAGTCACAGCTGTGGGGTTTGCTCGAGCTCAATACAACTCTGTTATTAGCCAGCTGTAGGCCTTGAGACGACTTCTGTTCAAATTATAATATCTTTTAACCCTCTGAGCATTGAGGGCTCAGGGGTGGCTGGCAGCGACATAACAACTAGATTTCTTCTTGCTAATAATTGGCAAAATGAACCAAAGCAAAGAAGAGAGGAACAGAGACCATTGGGGAAGGGGGAAAAAAAGTTATTTCTAAAGAGATTTATTTTGTCTCTGCTTTGTTCCCCGTTTAAAGCTAAACACCAATTTATGAGCCTTTTACTAAAGATTATGGAACATAAAACCAGCTGGGGAAGCTCCCAGGTATGTCAGATAACACTATGCAAATGAAACTCAGTACAGGCAATAACCCTTGAAAAACGGAGCACCTGATTCACCCCTCAATCATTGACTGCTACGACTGGCTCCTAAAATGTAAGAGAAGGAACTTTACCCCTTCCTGGAGAATCAACCAGCTCTAGCTGATAGATTGAATGATAACTTCCCTTTTGGATGCATTTAATATTTGCCATCACACATCTCATCTGTACACATGTACACATACTCACACAGCTGCAGACAGTATCCATCCAATGGATCATTTACTTACACATAACTAATATCTATTTTAAATTCTAGTTTGGGAAGAAAACAGCAGAGCATCTTCCCAGGTCTCCAATGCAGAGAAGTTACAGTACATTAAATTTTTATATTGTGTTACTAATGCAGACTAAACTAGAGGCTTTAAAAATTGATGCTGCTACTTAAACAGCATAAAATGAGGAGGATTTGATTGGGCTTAAAAATAAAAATGTCAGTCTTAACTACAGCTGGATGGGGCATGCAAGCATTATTTAAAATGATAGGTATAATTCATTAGACAATGGATCAGTTTTTGGTTTTTTCTTTCCTTTTCAGAAGTTAATCTCTCCAAAGAAAGGCAAAATAACAGACAACAAAAAAACCTGCTTTCAACTAACAACCTAATCAAAGCATCCTCACTATTTACCTCGAGGTATTATATGAAGCCCATCTCAGAATTGTATTTTCTTTCTGAATAAAGTTATCAAAAGTCCCTGGGATACTGGAGTATCTATCGTCTTACTGCTCCCAATGTCTTCCTCCCCCCAGCTACTCCAGTAAGGAAGCCTTCATTGCTTTCAGCTGAAGCCACTGGCATTTGGAGAGTTTGTTTTTTTAATACTTGGTCAAAACCAAAACAAACATGTCTGATTGTTATGGTTTCTTCCTGACTGGGTTGGGGAGGGAGACAGGGCTTCAGGGAGCTGCCCATAAAACAGTCCACACTAAATCAGAGAGCCTGCAATTACCCAAAACTAGTAAGTCTGGAGTTGGGAGACACTCACTAAAGCAATAGCCAAGTAAGGAAGGATTGCGGCTTTCCCTCCAATCAGAGCTTTTTGGAGGAAGAAAGGCATGTGTGGAATAGGCATTTAAATTTTCATGATAAAATAACCACACTGTTTCCAGAGTTTCCTATTTATATCTTTTCTTGTTTGCGGTGGGGTCTCCGGCACCCAGCCAATACCAGGCACATACTACGTACTCAATAAACATTTGTAAGAGTAAGTGTGAATGCGATTCCTCTGATTTTTTAAATTTTCTTCTAGTCAGGCAGAAGAAAGTGGATAATACACAGGGCTCAAGGTGGAATGGATTGGTCTCTGAAAAGAAGATGGGAAAGGTGCAGAAAAGCCAGTAGACAACCTTTCGCGACTCGAACATCAGAATCCAGCTGTTTCTCCACACTGCAGATCTCCCCGTGGGTCCTCTCCCTGCCCCTCCTACGCACTGGTGGGAAATGGACTAATCTCTCTTCCAGGTAGTTCCTTTTGTCCTGAGAATCCCCCCCCCACACACACACACACACCCGCACGTGAAGTCCTAAGAGAGCAACTTCCCGGGAGGAAGAAAACGCCTCCGCATCACCGCAGGTGCCTGGGTGCTAGGAAGCGCCCCGGAAATGAGCCGCTGGACCCTCTGGCGGTCTCTCGCCCAGACTAGGAGTCCTTCCAGGGCTCTGACTCAGTAACTCCACAAGTGGCCCGCCTGGAACTCTACCACGCGAGGCCAGGCAGGAACTCCAGCCGAAAATCCCCGATCCCAAACCCGGCCCGGGCTGCCCAGCCCACTTCCAGCACTACTGACCAGGGGACAATGGAGACTTTCCACTGGCCAGAGGAAACTCCTGCGACATCAGAGACGTGGAATCCCGAGTCATTCTGGGTTTTCTTTCCAGTCCTAGGGGCTATGCTCTAAGAAACTTGCATAAAATGGTTTCCGTGAATCTGCACCCTGGACTCGCCAGTCTGCCCGCGAGGCCTCCCAGCTGCGCGCCCTCACTCCTGAAAATTAGTCCCGGGAACGCGGCGCGCCAGGCGGGGCTCGAGCACCTGCGGGCTCTCCCGGCAGGCCTGGGAAAAGGCGCCTCTTACCTACACATCACTTCGTGCGTCAGGAGAACTCGGCACATTTCCGGATTCTTATTCTGTCCCTCGTAAGCGATGGGCTGTAAAGTAGGTGGGGGCAGGAAGGGAAGATGTGGAGAGGGGTGGAGGGCAAGGAAAGAAGGGACTTCAGAAGGAGCACAACATCGCTTTTTCTCCCACCGCTTGCCACTGCGTTACGAATTCCCGCTAGCAGCACTACCTGCGCATATGAGTTTGGACTCAAATCATAGAGAAGTTTGCCCCAATGAGAACATCATTCTTAGCAAAACGGAATGTTTGGGGACCTGTATCTCTCAATAATTGTTTCCTCTCCATCCTTTTTGTTTGCCTCCCTCCACCCACAGAGTTTCCCTGAGCCAGACAGAACAGGACATTTGATGAGACAGAGAGAAGAAAACATTTTGCCATGGAGGGGGCTGTGGAGTCTGACCCAGGAAATCGTGGAGGAGGGGCAGGTCAGAGACAAACTGGGAAGTTTTGAAGAGGAGGGGAGGTCAGAGACAGACGAAGAGGAACCAAGTGACTTCGGGCTCACCTGCTTGGTGACCGAGTCGATGAGCCTGACGTAAAGGTCCTGTTCCGTGCGGACACCTGTGGGGACCCGACAGCCAGGAGTTAAGGGCCGTGGAGCCCCTTCCAGGCACCCCAAGCCCGTCTCTGCCCTGTGGCTGAGGCCCAAGCAGCCTCTCCAGGCTAAGCCGGCCTGGAGACAGTGACCTCCCAATCCCCTGTCCTGGGCAAGCCTCCCGCCGCCCTGGTCTCCAAAACCATTCCTGCGATTGATCGTGGCAAAGTCACCGTGTGCGTCCCGGAAGCCGGCTGCTAGGCGCCGGCTCAAGGTTGCTGTAGACAAGCTCACCGTTGCTGTAGAGGAGCTGTAACTTGTAGTGAGTGCCATTGTTGGTCTTCTCGTTGCCTTGTTCCTGAAAAGAGAAGGAGCGTTCGATTCTCCTGCCTTCCAGCCCCCTCAAAAATGAGGGAAAGAGGAGAGAGTGAATCCCTACCCCACATCCCTTCTCCCCATCAAAAGGCAGCTTTGAACAACCACCTGTCCTGCCCTAGGTCAAAGGGCACGAGCATCTGCTTGTCCTTGACCGCCCTCAGAAACTTGCTAAGACTTGTAGCCACTTGACCTTTTGCGGCCCTCTGTCTCCTTTAAAAATGTCCTCAGAAGAGCGACCCTTGAGTTTGGACAACCAGACAACTCGCCAAAGCTGCCTTTAAACAGGCGCCACCCAACCCATAAGGCTCTGTCTGTCCTTAGGAAGCCCCATGGCTTCCCTTGGCAGAAAAGTGAAGGGACTTGTCATTTGGAAGGGCAGCATTCGGGCCTATCCTGTGAGGACTGCGCCTGCAGGGCCACGAGCTCAGGGACTGAGCTCCAAGTTCAGGAGAGACTTTGGGAAGTGCCTGCTCTAAAGCTCATATTGTACAGCTGGGGACATTGAGACCAGGAAAGGGCAAGAGATTTTCCTTCGGTCACACATGGGTTTCGGCAGACTGTCCTTCATTTGAGATCGAATCCAGCCCCCAATTCCAGGCTTGAATTTAGAGGAGGCTCTGCCATGGAGGAAAGAAGGCACAGCCTGAAGGCGGGCCAAGGTTGGGCTGCCGGCTTCCATTTAGTTATGCAACTCAGCCCCCCTGCTGGCTCTCGCAGGTGCAAAATAATTAAAATTAACCCCGAGAAGGGGAGCGGTGGCCTTGGGTGTACTTTTTAACTATGGTCTAGTCCGAAGGGCGTTTGCTCCACCGTCAGTCCATAATCAGGAGCTACTAAGGGCGCCAGGCTCCCTGCTCCCGGTGGGGAAGTGGGGGTGGGAGGAGGTTCGGGAAATAGACTAATTTAGAGGCTAGGGGTAAGAAGTCTCGATTTTTCATCCCTGATGATGTGAGTGGAAAAGTGTCCCGAGAGTGACAGATGGAATCTTTAGTGCTTCGCAAAGAGGGAGTTATTAGGCCGCGGAGTTTGGGGGGTAAGTTCCGCTTACTTTGTCATTCTCCACAAAGTCCACGAAGGCCGTGCGCTCAATCTCCACCGGCTGCCCCTGCCTGTCATAGAGCGCCAGGACGAAGTGAAAGAAGTTGGATTTCCGCAAGTTGGAGGGAGGCTGCTTCTCAAAGTGGGCCCGGGACAGGGCGACCCCGCTGCACAGGGAGACAAATGGGGGACACAGGACACGGGCAAGGACAAAAAGACGATGTTACTAACCGCTCACAACACTGCAGAGGGGCAAGGGGTCTACTTCTCAGGTCCAGAGTTCTGACCCTTAGGCCTTTTCTCCAGTTCGGTTAAGAAAGTGGAGACTCCTTAGCAGAGTCACCGTGGCCACGGGGTTTGGGTGACAGGCTTGATGCCTGGGGTCTCTGACACCACCCAGTGGTCCGGCATCCCACTGCTGGGCCACCCACCATCCTGTCTTTAGTGGAAACCGAAAGACCCAGGCTGCCCACAGAGGCCCAGATTGGTCCCCTAAAGAGGTGACCCGCATCCTACACCAGGGGGATGGCTCCATCCACTCCCTCAGGTGGTACTGCTGGGTGTATCAGGATGCAAAGCTGGGACCCAGGGTTAGGAGAATAAGTGCCTCCTTCCCTTCGGAAGAAGGGACCCTTTTATTTCGTATTAATTCGAGTGACCTGTCCTAGACCCAATGCCCACAAGGCCCACATGCTAACTGGGAAATGTAGTGGCTAAGAACCCCAAGGTGCGGGCAGGAGAGTAACACAGAGTCCAAGTCTGGGTCCTTGGGCTGATTGCTTCCCTCTTCCGAAAAGCTATACCTGGGACAGAGGCAGCTGGGAATCCTCGAGACCAGCCCCGGGGATCACTGGCCACCCCAAATGAGATGACCGACATAAGGGACCCTCGATCCCAGAGGTGCTAGGTGGAGAAAAGCTAACCTGTTACAAGGCAAGAACCTCCTTTCCTGGGGCTGCCGCAATCCCCACTCAAGCTGCGTTTCCCGGCGGCGCCAGCGGAACCCAGTGACTGTGAAACCCAAGTTAGGGGACCCTCGAGCGTGTTGAGTGTGTGCACACACTTCCCAGCCCGCCGGTCGCAGTCAAATCCGACCTGGCCATCAGAGCCCATTTCACCGAAGACTTGGGCCGCAGGCGAGCGCATAGATTGCGACGCTGGGGTCTCCCAGCCGTCTGCCTAGCGGCGAGAGCACCTTCACTCATTCTTTTGAAAGGGGTAACATTTTGGCTAAGATCTCCCCCACTCGGTCTGCCCGTTCCAGCTTCAACAACTTTTTGATCCCAGGAAGGGAGGCAGGCGAGGGAGGCGTCTTTAAGGAGCCGGGCTAAGGAAATGCGCGGCACAGCCGGCTCTGCAATGACGCCTTATTTCAGTCTGCTCGCTGCCGGGCCAGTCCCGGAGCGGTGCTGGAAGCCGCCGCCGCGGCAGCCGCCGCCACGCAGTGCAATCGGCGGGAAGGAAACCCTCGTGCCCCGGGCCGCGGGAGGGAGGGAACCGCCGCCGGCCCAAGTCCGGGAGTGATGAGACTTCTGCTTCCTCTCCTCCAAGGGTGGAGGCCGGTTCGCTCTACCCGGGACACCGGGACAGTTTGGGAAAGGGATAATTTCTCCGAATGATGTTGGCACGTAAAGGTGGGTGAGTGGCCAGGAAGGCAGACGACGAGACGAGGGTCGTGGAAGAAGTTCATGGGCTCTTTGAGGGTAGAAGGGCGGCTTCTCTCGCAGACAAGGACCTGGAGACCACAAATCCCAACCCAGTCGTGGTGATGATAGAATGGGACCATAATGTCTTCGTAGGGTGGCACCCTGGACATGGTATTTACTATCCCAGCACGCGGACGCCTAGACACAAAGTCAACCTCAGGGATCCGCAAAACCAGAAGCTGGTGACCCCTGCGCCTGCCTGGCTGCCGGTCGCCTTTCCTCGCCTCTTTATCCCTCCGCAACTCCTTCTATCGTGACTCTGTCTTCTCTCCTCTTTTTAATTTCTTCTCTTCTCCAGCTCCCCAACTCCGTGCGTCTGGGTCACCGTTCTACCTTTAAGCCAGGACCGTCCAGCCTATTCCCCCCTCCCAGAGCCCCCAGCCGCCTCGCCTTCCCGGGCGGCCGCTCCGGCTTCTCCCGCTCCTCTCGCCGCCGCCACCCTCTGGCCACCGGCCTCCCGGGCTCCAGGAATCGCCCAGCAAGATGCGGGAGGCAGGCGCTCGCAGGCGGCGTGGCGAAGCCGGGAGTGGCCGGGAAGCCGGCTTTCCCCCGGCGCCGCGCCTGCCATAGCGGGTCCTTACGCTCCGCTCCGGGCCAGCCTGGCTCAGCTCGCAGGACTAGGGACTGAGCTGGGAGATGTTGGGTGCTACTTTGTCATTTTTCCTTGCAAAGCATGTACTGCGGTAAAGGAGTGGGAGAGAAACGCCAACGACCAGGCAGTTCAGAAACTCCAGTGCTGGCTGCCCAGTGAGCGTTCCCCTGACTGCAGCGTTCTGCTTGCCCGAGGGCGAACCCCAGCGCGCAGGGCCTGGGCGACAGATGGGGGGACAGGGAGAGAGAAAAGCAAGGGGAGCAGGGGAGGGGTGAACACGGCGAGACAGACGGTAAGAGCGAGAGACCGAGAGGGTAATAATTGCGCGGCCGTGTCGTTACCTCTGTGCGGCGACATTAGCGTCCACCACTCCGACATTCCGGACCCAGGACCTGACCGAATCCATCTCTGCGCCCAGCGATTTCTCTTTCAGAGCTGGTCCTCTTCCTAACGTATCTTGAATTCCAAACATTTAAAAAGTCTGATCCTCTAACTGTCGCTTTAAAAATGAGTTACAACAATACAGTCCTGACTGTTTCCAACGTTGCCAGCAAATCGTCTCCTCCAAAGCAATCCAAGAAAAGGGATCAAGTGCCCAAGTTTGAGTCTTAGGGAAAAAAAAAAAAAAGATAACCGGTCCTTTGCTTCACTGGCGAGGTGCGGACTGATGTAGCCAGTTTGGGTTCTTATCCTCCGCAAGTTCAGATCTGCCGCCTCAGCCCCTCCACCCTAGGTCGCTCGCATCCTTCCAGCTGCAGCGCTGCCTCCTGAAAGTGATCACAATTTAGAAGCATCACCTGTTCTGGGAGAAACTGGAAGAAATTGATGGCTGCCTAATCTCTCCCCTTCCTCCAGATCCCCCCTCCCTGCTCCTCCCCACCTTTCCAATTTAGAAAAAAAAAAAAAAAAAATCCCCAACAGGATCAGTTGTAAAAGGAAGGGGAAGACCCGGAGCCGAGAGGAGGCGGTGGCTGCGAGCGCCGCGGAGCCGGGCTGCAGCCGCGCGCGGGCCCCATGAATGGGTTACTACGGCCCTGGCCTCGGGAGGCGGAGCCGCGGCCCGATAAGGAGCCTCATTTGCATGGACGCTCGGGATTGGCCGGCGCCGGGTTAGCCGGTCCGACGTCCTCCTGCGGCGCGCGCCACGCTCTGCGTTGCCGGGAGTCCGGGAGGTGAAAGGGGACAGAAAGCTGCGGGCGTCGCGTCCTTGCACGAATCCCGTGTGCGTGCGCAGGACTGGGGGGGCCCTGACACCCTGCACTGACTTAGGGTAGCCGGGCTCTGCGGGCTGGGGACGCACGGGCTCGGCCTGGCTGCGGGAAGCGTCCGTGGATCCTGCCTCTAGATGTAGGTGTTTGTAGCCTGCCGGGAGGCACGTCCGTTCCCGGGGTTCGGATCTCTGTGCATGCTTGTGAGCGTGGCCACGTGTGCTTATGTTTTGTGCAAACGTCCCCCAGAGCACCCAGCTCCCTGAACGGCTCCCGCAGGTCTCCTGGAGTTCCATGGTGATATCAGATGTTGTGTGCGGCTTGCACGGGGCTGAGAGTGGAGGACACGTGAATGAAGGCGGGGGATGGAGTGGGGTGGACGAGCTGGGCGCAAGTGCTGCTCAGATAAATACAGTGCCGGGGAAAACGGTCCAGGAGCTAAGGAAAACACTCGCGGGCCGGCGCGAGCCGCAGTCGCACTGTGTGGAGTAGAGGCTGCTGACAGATCGAGGCGGGCTGCGTGTGCGAGCCGCCGGGGCGTAGTCCCGCGGGTCCCCCGGTTCCCGCCCCATCTCTCTGTTCCCGAAGCCCCCGGGAGTGGGGGGGAGGGACGGGGGAGTCGCGGAAACTTCGCCCACTGCGCGGTGGCCGCGGTGCTGGCCGCAGGCTGGTGGCCGGGAGGCGGTGGCAGCAGCCTCAGCGAACAGCTGAAACCCTAGACGGCTTTTTAACTGCGCCGGGCAGCTCGCGGTGCCTATTAAACATCCTCCTGGCTGGGTGTCATTTTCTTGCTTCTCCTTTTGTATTCTGATCTGTGCATAGATCTGCTGCTGAAATCTAGAACACCAGCGCGAAAACAGATTTGAAGACAATGAATGCAAATCTGTGCTCAAAGACCATCTGCTGTGGAGGAGACAATCAGCTCTTCGCAGTTCGAGCGACTGCGCCCGGGTCTCCCGGCCTCATTATGGAGAGGGCATTTGCGAGCGCCTGGGCTGCGTTCAAGGCACTTTGTCCCCACTTAGGTCTCAGATTTGAGAGATGAGATCCCTTAGGTGTAGGTGAGCGCTCGCAAAGGAACTGCGAGGGTTTGCCGCTAGAGGACACAGCGCCTCGCAACTCGTTTGCCTGGGCGGACAGGAAGCTTGCACTTAAAGAAAACCCGGCTCTCCTGAGAAAGGGAGCGGTGCGCGCCTCCACCTCCGCCCCCACGGGACTAATCACCGCAGCACCTTGTTGCGCGCGCGGGATTGCTGCTAGAAAGCGCTGCTCCCAACTGCGGAGATTCCCTTGAAAACCGATAAGGGGTTAGGGAGTTTGTGGGGCGGGTACACCGACCTCTCTGCACAGGCCCCGGGTTCCAGGGGCTGGGGTCACTGATTTGGGGGAAGGTAGAGAAGGTAAATCCCCCTCCTCTGGGTTGTGTTGACTGTGGTACCTGGACCCCAGAGCTCTGGCTTGGTCCTCCCTGTTGGACTAAAAGGGGCTGGAGAACCATACAGGGCGATTGGGAAACAGATTAGGTGGCTTGTAAAAGCCAAGTAAGACAGGAGTGTCCTCAGCAAGAAGGGGGAGGGTGGGAGGGAAATCTGTAGGGATGAGATTCACTGCCCTGTTTCAACTTGGCAATTTCTCTGTTACATGCAGGCTTTACGGAGAAGTTCGGTCCCAGCAAAAACTAACCACCCGGAATCTTCTACCATCTCTCTTTATAAATCTCTCCGAACCTCAAGCAACTACCCACCCTCCACCCCCGCCCACACTCCCTTCTTCGTCTCGGGTCTGCGTCCAGCAGGGCCAAAGCCTTGAGTTCCCTGGCAGAGAGTGTGGAACAGCCGTGAGCCCCTTCCAGACAAGCCAATGAGACCAGTGATTTTTTTTCAAGGGGCCTTCGATCAGCTGCACCTCCACATTGCCCGGCAAAGGTGCGCAGGGCACCCCGAGAGGCCTCTGGTCAGCAGTGGGCCTGGGCCCAGCCCCAACAGTTTACCCCTCAGGCTCAGGTTGGCTGGGGTTAAAGGGCAAAGTCAGGGTCGAGGGCGCCAGCTTTTCTTGGCGGTAACAGCTGCCACCCAAATTATGCCTCCTCAGGAAGCGAATGAATTGTTTCTTTCTCCCAGCTCCCTGCTGCCGCCCCAAAACAGGCTGCGCGCGGAGGGCGCCCCTCCTCCCAGCCAACCCCCAGAGACTAGAGGCAGGGCCGCGGTGCCCTGCTGGAAGGCAATTTAGGGGAGCCTTGACCCCGAATTTTGACAGAGTGGGGGCGTCTCGCTACTCGTGAGCTGCGTTAAGGGCGCCCCGCGCGGTAGTGCTGCTGGGGGTTTCAGGGATGGCTCCCTGGTGGCTCGCTGCGGGCGGTGACGTTCCTTGTTGGTCAGGCTGAAGTTTCTTTGGGAACCTCAGGGGACAAGGGCTGCCTTGGGCCCAGCATGGCGGCGTTTCGGCCCATCCAGTTGGGCTTATATCCTTACAGGTTTTGGGGGGTAACGGAAGCTGAGTCCGACACTCGCGCCAAAAACGCCTGGGTTCCGGGAGTGAGTATCGGCGGCTGTCCCTGGAGGGTCGCTCCCACCTCTATCGCCTCCAGCTACCCGCAAGCAAACCCCCTTTTCGATCACGCAACACAAAACCCGCCCCAAGCTGCGCTGGGGCCCGGCAGGCGCAGCTGCGGCCCCGGGAAGCCCAGTCCCGCGGGGCTGCGGAGCCCACACGCTTCTCCGGCTCCCGCCAGCGAGCTCACTTCTGCTCCTCCCCTGGGTCAAGAAAAATCCGAAATGAACTCTGTGATTAAAATTATTCACAATCTATTTATACAAAACTCGGGGTGTCTGTCTTTAACCCTGTCTCCTTCTTCATTCGCCCTTCCCAAATGACCTCCACCCCTTTTTTTCCATGTTTCTGTTTCACGTCTGCAACCCAGTGCGAAATGTTCGATTTCCTCTTAATTGGTTTTAAGGCCACTTTGCCCAGTCTCATTCGGTCCAGTCATCTGGGCGCCGATCAAAGGTTCAGAAATTTTACTTAGAAACAGCTCTCCTTGCTGTGTTCCTGTCCGGCGGGACGCTGGGGTGAATTCAGAGATATCAGAACACACCCCTAAATACGGCCTTCACCCCCATTTCCAGACACATACCCGCTGTGCTGAAGCACAGAGCCAGACCAGTACCCGGGGAATTCGATCCACAGGAAGAGCCAGCCCGGGTTTTATAAATGGAAAAAGTGGCCTTCCCCGTGGCCTCCCTTCGGACCTGGATTTTCCGATTTTTTTTTTTAAGCTGGAATCTACTCTTTGCCCGACTGCAAAGAAATAGATTTACTCTGTATATCAGAGACCTGCAGAATATTTAACTCAAAATTCTTCGTGAAATGATATTTTAAATATCTAGCTTCATTAACTCTCACACCAAATTGCAACTTTGGCATTTTCTTCCGGAAACTAGATTTGTATGTTCTATAAATGCGAATTCCCTAGAGAGGGTCGGAGAAAATAAACTATTCATAAATGCACAACAGATATCTCAGTAGGACTCTGCCATCGATACCAAACAGCTCCCTTATACGACAATTTGGGTAAAAAGTGGATTCGCTGCTTTTCTTTTCACATAGTGAAGGAGATTCGAGCGGGAACAGCTGCAGAAATACTGAGGCGTGGAGGAACGTTTTACAGACACTTGATGTCGATTGTGTCCAGGCCAGTCGGGACACTGCAGTGATTTTACCCAAAATAGACTGGAGGAGCCAGATTCAACTCAACCCTAACACTTGGCGATTCCTGAAAGTCTTCCTCCTCGTCCTCCTCTCCTCTGCTCCTCCTCCCGCTGGTATTATCCTTCAGAAATATCCCTCTTTCCCATCCCCTTATTCCGGGTGCAGAACTAGCGAGGAAGCAAAGCGGAAAAGTCAGTAGAAAAAATTCTCGCAGCAGTCACCGCTGCTTAGGGAGCGCGGGTGTCCGCGCAGGAATGGAGGCCCGGGAGGTGTGTGTGCTGCAGGGCAGGCTGTCTGGATAGAGATGTGATGGGGGTGGCTTCCACGGGAAGCTAGGGACCTGATTTCCCGGGTAGGAGGGGTGACTTGTGCGTGAAACCCCTGCTGGGGGCCGTGCTGGGGTACGGCAGGGTGGCAGCCCCTTTCAGGAAAAGGAGGCGGTGGCATCTGTCACCACTACTTAATAGTGGTGCAGCGATCGGGGCCAAATGGACCCACATTAAGAGGCTTGATCACGCGGGCTCCGTGAAAGGGAAGACCCAGAGGAAGGTACTAACGATTAGAGGCAGGACTTGCCGAAGCCCTTTCTCACCCTTAAACTTCACATTTCAAGTGGAATTTGTAGATTTGTTTACCCCCATTTTACAGATGAGCAAAATGAGGGTGGGAGATGACAGTTGGCATCCCAGCTGCTAAATGGGGAACAAGGATCCTCCCCTATCTTCCACTTCTAATACTCCACAATGGTGTGCAACAGAAGGCCTTCAGAAAGAAAAAGTTACATGTGACTTTTTTCCTTTTTCAACCCCTGCTTCTTAGCTCAGTGATAACCGAAGAGCTACGCTGAAATGCCCCCCTTTTCCTGGTGATGCCCGCCAGCCGGCAGGGGAAAGCCCGCGGGACCTCCCAACTCCTTCCCGGCTCGCCACGGAGGTGTGAGCGATGTGTTGATTATTCATATTTTTTGAAGAGCGCACACTGCCGCGGCCGACGCCGCCACATTTCACACGTACACTGACGTGCACACATGCACACGCGCTCACCCGGCCCCGCACGCGCGCACCGCCCCCCGCTCCCGGGGCCCTCCTCGGATAAGGGAGGGGTGACAACAGGTTCCCACTCACCAACACCCCGCTGCCTTTT